AATGTGACGAAGAAGGGGCCGACGTAGAGGTAGATATCGACGATATTTTGAAACGGGCGGAAACTCGGGATACAGACAATACAGAAGATGCCTATAATCCCGCCAATGCACTCCTCTCCACGTTTAGCGTCGTAACTCTGGATCAACTGGAACCGGACGAAGAGACAAAGCCGGTGCATATAGATCAGTCTGGAAAGTCAGCCGCTGGAAAAAGTTGGTCTGAGATCATCCCCTCCGACTTGCGGGAACAGGTAAAAAATGAAAATAGCAAACAATCCCTGCTAGAGTTGGAGCTTGGTCCTCGCCGCCGTCGTCAGGTTAAAGCTTACCAAGCTGGTCTGGACAATTATAACAACTCAGAATCGTCGTCAGATAGCGAACGCACCACAGATGAAAAACCATCATCAAAGTTTTCAGATAAGGAAATTCGTGCCTTAGTCAGGGCAGTAAAACGTTTTGCTCATCCCCTTGAACGCATCGACACCATTGCTGCCGAAGCTGAACTACCGGATCGAACAAGTAATGAAGTTCGTGAAGTTGTTGAGTCAGTTTTGAAAGGATGTCGGGCGGCAATGGAAGCCTCGTTAAACAAAACCTCGGAAGAGCCTGGCGATGGAAACGGTAAACACAAGGGTCCAGTTTATTACTATGGCAATGTGGCAGTGTCAGCTCGGCCGCTACTACAGAGCTTAGATGACCTTGAGATTCTCCACAAATGTCTCCCTTCTGGCTCGAAAGAAGACCGCCTGAATTACGAGCTGCCTTTTTTGCCCAAGTTAGTTAATTGGACGGCTCCATGGGACGTCAGCGATGATGTCAGGCTGCTTGTCGGCGTATATGAACATGGCTACGATAACTGGGAGGCGATCAAACTCGATGCGGACCTTGGTTTGGGCTCGAAACTTTTGCCGCTTTCGGCGAACGAGCGACCACAAGCAAGCCACATCCGGACACGGGTTGATTACTTGCTGAAGATGCTCACAAAGAAGGCAAACAAAGCAACAAAGGAAGGCATAGGAAACCATTCACAGAAGCACAGTTCGAATGCAAAAGCTTCCGGTGAAACTGAATCAGAAAACAAACGCCGCTCTAAGCGAGCGACTGCCGAATCTCGACATGCAGATTCGTCTCGCAGTGCAGGACTGAATCCAAAATCTGACGAGTTTGTTGAATCCGATGACACGTCTTCCGATTCCTCAGACGAAACTGATCTCTCCGCCTTGACACCTAAACTAAAAGCTCCTCACCGATCACTCAAACGATCAAGAATGACGCCGACTGTCGATGATGTAGAAAACAGTTCCATCGAAGTGAAAAAGAAGAAAAGAAAAATGCGTGAGAAGGCACCAGAACCCCTCCATTTTACTGCTAATCGAGAGCCTGTGGCGATCAGCAAAGAAGAGGAGGAAGAGTTCCACAAGATGCGTGGACCCCTTTTTGCTGAAGTAAGTTTTTCTCTCACTAAAATCCTTCTAAAGTTCATTTACGTCGCTTTTTCAAGGTCCACTTAAACCACAGTCACAGTCTTGCAATTAGAAAATCCAAACATGCATTTTTAAAGTCCTGTTGTGCAGTTTCTTTTCATTTCCCGGACCTCGGTCAAGTTAGATACTCTCGCCTGGGTCCAATTTTTATACTACCACAGTAGTGAATTTGTCTCTAGCGTGCGCCTTTGCCGAAAATACTGTTACTAAGTTTTACTCGATGTGCTGACTGTCAAAGAAACCGTTGTTTAGAATGTTCCTGAAGTCGTTTTCACGACGCGAGCCACTTAAGCCTATTCCACCCTTTTCAAAGACGTCGGATGTTTTCCTGCAGTCTGATTATTTTATGGGACCCTCAAGACGAACCTTTTTCCTATACATTGTTTTATAGTGCAAAGCGAAGTTGTATCCCGTCAAAAAGCAGTTGAAGTTGCTGGAATACTTTGAAGATGAAGACATGACAGACTCTGAGCAGTACGACAAGGCCATCATGAGGATCGGGGATCACATTAGCTCATTAACCAAAGAAATGGTACACAAACACGAAAGGCGTTCTTGGAGAGGGTGAGTTATCGGCTCCAGATTCACTATTTCTACGTTTCCTCTTTTATTTGATAGTGACTCTCAATTCCTTCTTTTAGATACTTTTGGGAATTTGTGCAGAACTTCTCAAAGAAAGGTCCATCTGAGTTGCAGCACGTCTATCATTCCGCTGTCAAACGTGAACGGAAAGCTTCTGAAAGAGAAAAATATCAAAAAAACTCCGAGAAAAATTCGGCTGACAGGTCTGGACACGGTAAAAGCTGGAATACAAACTTCACTTCTGCCAATGACGGCGAAAAATCCACCACGGACTCTGGAATGAGGTTATCTCGTCAAGAATTCCCATCGGAAAAGTCCGCTCGTCACGATAGTTGTCACAAACGTCCATCAGATACTCGCTTTGATTCCTATTCCCGAAAATCGGGAGATTTCCGTTCTCACGATTCGGACCGATCTCTACATGACAGTGATCGTTACGGCGATTGGAACCGTCGCGATCGACCGCACCATCGAAGAAGTGGCGATTGGTCAGGCCAATCCGGCTTGAACAATGACAGGTAATTTTTTGTTCTGAATATTTTTGTCGCGCATTGCCACAGTTTTGGAACAGATACCTCTCCCGGTCACAGCTTTGTGTTCTGACTTTCACCATTCTTTGGCAATTGGTAGCATGAGGGGGATGTAATGCGTTGTTCAATCTTTTAACGACGCCAACTAATCAGATTGTAAGGTTAGAAAAAGAGACTTCCCTATTGATATCGTTACTCTTAACCGAAATTATGTATTGTTTTTCGATTAGGAAAAATTATTCAGTTGGGGTTTTATTATTTATTATCGCCCAGCGTAATTCTGCAATCTTTCAATCATGCCGGGAGGCCTGCTTATAAACGAGCTTCCTTCTGGCCGGCAGTATAAAATACACTAGGTAAAAAATGGCCGCTTACGAATCTTGTGGATTTTTGATATCCCTATAAATTCAATTAAGTATACCTTATGGAAAACATGCACAGAATTATTCTTTCTTACAGCCATAGGTTAAAGAACTACGCCCTCAACCAAACAAATCTTTCGGTTTTTAAGATCTTAAAATGTTCACTCGTACAGTATCACATTAAAGCGTTAATTAGTACTGCTTTTTTTAGTATACAACACGGTCTCCACCCATTTCGAAATTTAGTGAACCCCTTTACGACGTATTCTCAATAGCGCGAACGGATATATGATTTCCTCTGCGTGAAAAGTATACAGCCTGGAGTTTTGAAACCCTAAGCACGAGTGCATCTGCAAGTTAGGTTAAAACTGGTTAGGACAGAAGGGTACCATTTCCTCAAATATACACTTCGAATAAGACAATTCTTCACAGAAAGAGTACAAGAAAGGGTGTTTCTGTGCTTTTTCCGTTAAATATAATTTATGAGGCCATAAATAACAAATGGGAAAATTTCAAACTAATTATGCAATCATTTTTCACTGAGTGCAGTTTTTGCTGGCAGTCGAACTGAATCCCGTTCAAAAGTCGGCATCGCCGCACGACTGAAAGACGGTGGAGTCATGTTGCTTGGTAATCAGTATCTAAGCATTTTAGTCTAGTCGAGAACATTTCAGAATTTCGGTTAACATTTCCTGAATTAGACCACATACTACAAATCAGACCTTTCGTAGCCAAAATGTAATGTTATTTTGTAGAAACTTAGCACAATTATTTGCCTCTTGTTTCACTTAATTTACGCGAGCTGATGAATCGCTTCGCGAAGGTTGTTTTTGTAAGCTTTTTACTGGGATTGATTCTGCAAGTGTGCCGGTGTCTTCTGTGAAACTCAGCCCAAAGGGTAATGACCGGCATATGAAATATAGGCACTCACCCATCTGCATCTATGTGAAAAACGGAATTTTTTATGCAGTACTTAATTTGGTAGATAGGGTGCATTGCGCCCTAGGTGCCTCTCAACTGGACATCTTTATTTTGGTCACCATTACTTCAGGAGTAAGTCAAAAAGCCACAGTTGAATGCAATGTTTGATCTGGTAGCTGGTCGGACCTATATTTCACACGATGGACTACCCCTTCTGCCCGTTAGAGTCAGTTCTTCTGACTGATCACATTCACAGAAGCTTATTCGGTCTGGCATGTGTTTGACGCTCAAGCGCTGTCCATTTGAGTTCACTCGTGATCTTCTATCATCAGCCACATGCCTGAAAGCGGGGATTCAGTTCTGTCAGGTTTACTTGCCATTCTACATCCACGGAATCACTAATGGGCACAATATTGGGGCCACCACATCTGGCACTTTCACTTTTGCGTAGCGTCATCGAGATATTTTAAGGGACCTAAACTTTAACTTATATCTATTTCAATGGCTTTGACTTCTTTTAGTAACACTTTATAGTTCTAGTTAAGTGCGCGAGTATCTACTTTGCCCAAAGCATGGGTAGTTTGACCACCAAAACCACTCACACTGCTAGGGAAATTTCGGAACGGTGATCTTTATTACCTGGGCGATTTCAGTTCCATTTTTGGTATGAAAGTGAGGTGGTATTGGATTTCCCAACTGATACGGAGTGAAGCGACGTGCACTTTCCTGTTTGCCTCACTGTGACATCTCTCACATTTTTGCTTTTTATAATTATTTGCAGACGTTACGATCGCTTCAACAACGCGTTTAATAGGCCTGCTCCAAACTTTGCCAAC